CTCACTCACTCACTCACTCACTCACTCACTCACTCACTCACTCACTCACTCACTCACTCACTCACTCACTCACTCACTCACTCACTCACTCACCGAAAAATCGTCAAAAAAAATTCAAATTGGGGGCCAGATTTTTTTAAAGTCAAATTTACCATTTGTTGTGAAATTGAGGTTTTTCTTTATTGATCTTTGCAGACTAGGAACGAGCCCATTGCGACCACCGCGACCGAGTTCGTCCTCTCATTTACCTGCTCGTCCGACCGCTCCCAGTGTTTTCTTATATAACTGTGTTGCGCTCTTTGTGCTGTGACTGTTGTCGTTCGATTTTGAGAGGAGACGGGCCAAAGCCACGATTTTTCAAACATTATTCGACGTAGTGCTGCTGCAGTTTGAACCGGGGAAGTGCGTTCGCGGGCTTCCGGACAGAAATGGCGGACGGCAAACGGGCGGAAACAGGGACCAGACGACAGGCGACAGACGACGATGCTCCAAGTAAAGGTGCGGATGGCAGGCACGAAAAAAATCTTAAATTGCCCATCGTGAGGGCTAAAACAAGGGGTTGATTTGAAAAACACGTGAGCAAAATGAGAGCTAATCAAATAGCTTACAGCTTTGGAGCATGTCAAGGACTTCTCGCTCCTAAACGCCGTCATTATAGCACTTGGGTGCGAAAGTGGCCATCAGACTTGTTTTGTGCACCATGTCAATATTTGCGTATAGTCAGTGGTACCCCGACCACTTCAAACCAAAATCAGCGACGAAAATTGCATTCTAGTCACCAAACATTCGCTCTGCAACGACTTACACACGTAGAGGTAAATTGTCTCAAGTCGACTCTAACCTAAATTTTACTGCTAGTTTGTTTGTTTTTTTAAGTGCACTGTTGATAATTACGCATGTTCTGATTTTCATTCTTAATCTTTGAAAATATAGGTCACTGATAAATTGCAAAAGAATGAGTACACACAGGAATTCAATTTTGAAGGTTCCATTAAGTCATATGATTCAAATCAATTGGCCTCCAACAGTCCTGTTGAAGACTCGCGCTCTGAAGCTCGCTGCCTTCAAACTGCTGGTAAGTTTCCTTAGGATTTTTGTCTTTGACTTACTTTGCTTTTGTTCATTGTACTTACATTGTTGTATTTGCTTCAGGTATGCTGTATGGTATATTTGATGGTCACGGAGGTGCAGCGTGTGCCCAAGTCATAGCCAAGCGTCTGTTCAACTACATCACTGTTTCCTTACTGCCATCTGATCTGCTGCAGCAATGTCATCAAGGAGGAAATAGTGAGAAGCTGCTTGAACCCTACAATGATAAGATGCAATTTTATGATGACTTGCAGCAGCTGTATGATAAAAGTTTTAGTGCATTTGTGGAAGAACTAGTTAATGACAAGAAACACAAAGAGGAATTTCAAATGAAGGATGCTTTAGTACGTGCATTTTTAAAACTTGATGGAGACCTGTCTGAGGAAGGAAAGGTAACTAAGAATGGAGAGGTCAACAAAAGGACGCTCTCTGTGGCCATGTCTGGTGCTGTTGCTTGTGTTGCTCACATTGATGGGCCTCATCTCCATGTAGCCAATGTAGGTGATTGTCAGGCTGTAATAGGCGTTTTAGGGGAAGGCAATACATGGACAGCAAAGAAACTGACAGAGGAACATAATGCTGATAATATTTCAGAATTAAAGAGAATAGTACAGGAGCATCCTCCTAGTGAAAAAGACACAGTCATATCAAGTGACAGGCTTTTGGGTCAGCTGGCTCCTCTAAGAGCTATGGGAGACTTTCGATACAAGTGGAGTAGGGAGGATTTGTTAAGGTATGCTGTTCCTACTTACGGCGAAAAAGTGATAGCTCCAGACTACCATACACCACCATACCTCACGGCACGGCCTGATGTCACTTACCATAGACTTCGTCCTAAAGATAAATTCTTAATTATTGCATCTGATGGATTGTGGGATTTGGTGTCTCCTTTGCAAGCTGTCAGGCTTGTTGGAGAGCATATGAGTGGTAAAGTCACATTGAGCCCTTTTCGCTTACCAAAAGCCAACATGACCTTTAATGAAATAAACGAGGCACTTTTACAAAGAAAAGAAGCACTAAAATTAAAGCCGATTGACAAAAATGCAGCTACACACCTTATTCGTAATGCTCTTGGTGGCTCAGAATATGGACTGAGTCATGGAAAATTGTCCCAGTTACTCACACTCCCACAAAGTATTGTAAGACTGTTTCGTGATGACATAACAATAACTGTAGTGTACTTTGACTCGGATTATTTGAGGCATTGCCCTTTGTAATATGCAGTGTATTTAATTATAAATTGTGATGTGACCATGTTTAACTATGTTAAAAACAAAAAATTGTATAAGCTTTATTGCTCAACAAAGCTTAACCCTCATCCTCTTGATGAGACTGATTAGTTTGTTTTTAGATTTTCTTTTGCAATTGAATACGCTTAAATGTGAAATCTTTGAAATATATACATTTAATTTACAAACATAAACAATACATACATGGTTGGTGTTATTTATTTACAACAAATGTTTAATACCTTCTAAATTGTTTCTTAAATCTCTCATAGTGATAGTCATCAGTAGCTTTACCCCCGGCTTTCTCATCACCATCTTTGCTAGTACCACTTCCACTGGCTGTGCCTTGCTTGCGTTTTTCAGGAACAACATCATTTCTACGTTTTTTGGGTGGTCCCGACTCTTCAATATTAACTGAAAAGAGAAAAAATATAAACAGTTATGAAAAAAATTACTTGTTCTCATTCATTGAATATAAAGATATCAATACTGCACTCACATCTGTTGTGTTGAACAAAATTAACTGCCATGTTAGTGGGAACAAAATGAGATGGCCCATCTTTTTTATTGTGGCGTTCCCACAGCAACTTTAATTTGGCTTCCTCAGTTGCCTCAATATTACGAATTTTGGCACTTAAAATAACAGGGACAGGGGAGTTAATACAGAGACAAGGACAAAGCATTCCAATATCAATTACCTGTAGCAAATACTTACTCAATACCAAGGTCAACTTCAGGAATTCCACTCAACATTTGATTCGATAACATCTCTTCAGAGCGGCGGGTGGTAGATGCTCTTAAATGTTCAGGTACAGCCTGAAGCGCAGCCTCTTCAGGTGAAAGATATTTAGAGCTATCATCCTGACCTTCTTCTTTTTCATCCTTAGTTTTACATTTCTTTTTGGCCAGCTGTTCTTCAATATATTTCATCCTGACAGTAAACAACAGTTAGAAGTTAAAGAAACAGGCTAAAATTGGGGGTAAAATTGTGATACATTAAGACACTTGCATTTCTTCATCTTCATCCCTTTTATTGGTTTCTGCTGAGAATTGTGTGCCAATACCCACATCATAAGCATCATCACTTTGCTTAACACTCCCACTTTTAAGTGCTTTCATGTTTACCATTCCTCCACTCTTTACTTTAAAGGGATCGCTCTAGAGGGGAAAAAATCAACAATTAATGGATTGTTTATAAATGAATTATTCAAGTGTGAAGCATGTGAAGTAGAACGACTTACAATCAGATCCTCTTCTTCAACTGAAACTTTTTCACCAATAGCGAGGCTTACAATGCTCACACCATTAGGACGTTTCCTAAGCTTCTGAACAGTCTTCATCTCTTCCAACTTTGATCTGGACATTGCAAAATAACAAAATAATAATCAAGGTGTTGGCAAGGGTGTTACAAAATTCTGTAGTGAGCTAATAATACATTCGGGAGGAGGGAAACATTTAAATTAAGATAAAGCAGTTAAGTCGAATTGAAAAGTAAACCTTTGCAAAAAACTAAAGGTATATGTTTTTTAGAAATAGATGTTTACTTGTCTACGGTATAGGTTAGGGAGTGCTTACAAGTCAACTTCAGCTTCATCATTGCTTTCATTGTCAGGTTCGACCTCTCTCTGTCTCATGGGTTTTCTTTTCTTAGGCTTAAACTGAATTTTAGGCTGATCTTCAATCGCATCGTTATCACATTTCGCATCAGCCATAGCCAATCTGTGAGACGTTCAAAGTGAAGTTGATCTCCGCCACAACCACAACATAAACAGTTTTTCTTCCTTCGCATTCGCTTATTTGCAGGTAACCAACAACATCAACAAGAGTGGAGTTTAAATTGTAGGTTATGTCTGTGTGACATTATTTGAAATTTGTTAAATTTAACAATATGTCTTGAGCGGTTTTATCTCTTCGAATAGAATATAGCTTTGTTTTATTGTGACCAGAATACTGTGGATGAGAAGACATGGCAAATTGCTGTAGTGTTTATGGATGTTCAACCACAATCAAAAGTGGTGCAGTAAATAACCACAAATTATACAGATTTCCCAGAGACAAGACCCTCAAAGAAAAATGGAGACATCTGTTAAATCTGAAAGATGTTTATCCTAATAATCGTGTGTGTAGTTTGCATTTCTGTGACACTGACTACATTCAGACAAATTTGGGTATGGTGACAATAATCCTTGAACGTTCAAAGAAATTCTTTAATTTTTCCTTAACAT